CCCAGCAACTTGTGCAATGGCGAGAAATGTGCCCGATTCGGCTACACGAGAAGCAGATCGGCTTGTCATCGTGTGTTCGCCATGCGGACGGATTACGGAACGTTGAGGGAGAGCCAGTTGGGAAGGGACGTGCAGGCGTGTAATGGGACTGGTAGTCGGTGCAGGGAGGTGGTGAGATAGAGTGAATTCTCAAGCTGGCGGTTTCCTGCCAGACAACTGCTTGAATGAGAGGCAGCGTAATTGGCGGAGAGGGTTCAGAAGACGTTGGTCCCACTCTAGCTGGAGCAGCAGCTTCAAGTTCCCGCCTGACGATTCGCGTCAAATAATCACAGGTGTCTGGTGGATGATATGTGTCGAGACCCGAGGAAGTCGCAGTGGTGTTCGAAAGGCGCTGGAACTGATGGGAGCTGCGTCTGCTTTTAGCTTGTTGGAACCGGTGGCATTCTTGAATGATCGCATCAACAGATGACACATTGTTGAATACCAACAAGTTGAACGCATCGTCGGCGATACCCTTTAGGGTATGCGCAACTTTTTCAGGTTCGGACATTTTTTCGTCAGCTTGGCGGCATAGTGAGAGGACAGCCTGAATATAACCGATGTAGGGCTCCATGGAAGATTGTGCGCGAGTCGACAACTCATTTTTCGCAGCTTTACGGCGACCAGCGATGTTGCCAAAAAGCTCACGGACCTTTTTCTTGAAGCTGTCCCAGCTTGTTGTGTCATGCTCGTGGTTGTCAAACCAAACACGAGGGGTTCCGTCGAGATAAAAGATGATGTTTGTGAGCATAAGAGTGGGATCCCACCTGTAAGTGGCGCTGACGCGTTCGTAGAGGCGTAGCCACTGGTCGACGTCGGAACCCTCGTTGCCCGAGCACACGCCGGGGTCTTTGAGCGTGGGAAGCGTCACGAAAGTTGTTGCGGGCGCTAGGTTGACAGGCCAGGCAGAAGGGCGGGCGACCGGAGACGATGTAGCCGAGTTTTGAATGGTCATGTTGTAAGCCGCGAGGGAGCGTCCGCTTCAGAGTTCCGCGGCAAGGACGGGGATCCCACAACTCCACCAAATATGTTACGAGAAGGAGACCGACTCGGAGGGGTAGTCACCGATGTATTTACAGCCGGTTAGGCGAGCAGCGCCAGCCACAGAGATTAGCCCGCACCAGTCTATCTGCTTTGTCTTCTTCAACTCCATACACTGGCACGTAGCAATATATATATATATATATATATATATATATATATATATATATATATATTCCAACTTCGTGTCTGGAATAAGCTGCTCAAATTCCTATTATTGCGATAGCAATTATATGGACACTCTCGGCTGTATTTTGCTGCCGGCGTCGATGTGGATATCAGCGTCGATGTCCCTCGCATATATGTATACATATCTATATATATGAAAACGCAAAAAAATTAAAAATTACAGAGAAAGGATTTCAGCGCGCATCATCGAACAAGAGACCTCCTGTAGTGAATGCGAGGCGTTAACCACTGAGCCACCAAGAGGTACCTCCTTCAACGTTCAAACAGCAAGATATTCATATCTACCACTTACCCCTGTTGGTTGGCATCTCAGGGGGGGGGCTATTGTGTTTTCAGCATTATCAGCAAGATGGTGCAGTGAGCGTATGGCGGCGCTCGTCTCTCACGTGTACTTTGGCCATCGTAAAAAATAAGAGGGTGTACGCTCGATCGCCCGCCCTTATCTTGCAGTGGAGAGAATCGTATGTCTTGGCTAGCCTTTGAGTATCTGTGGAACGATTCTGTTGTTGTTACATGGTGCACGAAGGTCACTGCAATCGTTGCACAGCCTTCGTTTGCGAAAAGTGCATGTTTTTCAGACACAGCGAAGTAACAACTGAGACGCTTATTCGCGTTAGTCTGTACCTGTGAGTTCGTTTCAAGTGTCCTTTGTGCGTGACAAACGCGTGGCAGGTTTCGATCTGCTTGCCATTTAGCATGTGACCTTCCAATTTGTTGCTATCGCTTTCATTGCTTCGCCTTTGCGGAAAGCTGTGACTTTTTTTTAATGTCTTGGCCATAACAGCCTCTTATTTGGGAGGAAGGGATAGACTGACATGATGACAACCACTCTGTCTCAGTATTCAATAAATATGATTCAAGGATCAAATCCAATAAAAAGTGCTAATTTTACTAGTGATAGCATCAATACAAGAAAGCTTGCAAAGCTTAACAGTGTATTGCCTAATCAGATTATAATATTTTACTTTCTGTCATGTTCGATACATCACTTCATACAAAAATCTTAGTTTAAAATTCACGCAACATGTTTCTTGTAGTCAGAGAAGGATTTTAAGAAAAAAAAAAAAAGGGATCAAAGGTAAAACAAATGAAAGACCACATGTGCAAGAGGTTCGACATCATAAAACATGCCGAAGCCGATATTCTTTTTGTGTTTTAGGGAAGCAAGGCACCCTAAACTGAAGGTAGTGCATTGAAGAAACTGCATTGCAAAGGACTTGAAATATTATGACCCCTGTGCCTTTTAATAATAGAATATCATTGGTACAACATTAAATGTAGTTTTCCAAAATTATTTTTTTGGCTAATGAGGCTGCTTATTCCAGCAATATCTCTGTAACCACTTATCATATTTTCATAAGTCTCTTTTATTATGTATCTGAATAAATTTCTGAGGGGGAGACAAGCCCATTTTTTCAATATATGGTGTTTCTTATTTTTGATACATAATTAAACTTTGATAATACCTTAATCACCAACACTGAATTTGATGGTCTGCTAAACTTTTCAGCAATGAAATTCAGAAAAAAAGCTCTGTCACCGCCTGGGGTATCAATCTGGGAATCATCATAGTTAGTTTCACAGTTCCAGCGTCTTTTAAAAGTTCTCCAGGCCTGGAATAAGAAAACAATGTGCACTATTCTCACATAACAGCGTAAATTGAAAACCAGGGAACATTATGCCACGTTCCATTTCTCAAGTTTTGTTATCGCCCAAAAACACTACACAATTCTCAGCGCAAAACGCGCGTGCAGTTTTCGAGAAGCTTCCGGACTTAAGTGGATCATTTCGATAAGATCACGCCCACTCTGCGAACTGTACAGATTATTCTGGAACCTATGCCACCGCCAGCGATAACGCTAGAACATTCGATGGCAAGAGTATAAATGCCGACGCAGTTCGCCGCTTGTCAGTAGTTGATTGACGGCCAACGCTCCGTTCGCCGCTATCAGTCCAAGACTGCTACTGTAATCGGACTTTCCGTTTACCGGGCACAGGTTCGCCCAAATAAACAGTTAAATTCCAACACAAAGTCTCCTGTCTTCGGCCACGTCACGACCCCGTGACATCTGGTGGAGGTGCTGTTTCTTCCATGTACCGGACGCCTCCTTCAAGCCGCGACCCCAGCCCAAGCGTCAAAGAAGACACGGACGCTAACCCTGAACAGGGAACAAGCCGCAGGCAGAGGGGACTACAAACAGAGTACGGGCCCCTTCTTGAAGCAGCCAGGCAAACTCGGATCCCGACATCCACTACTGCAACCATGACCGCCCCCGTGCAGCCTGCACCACTCCTGCTCCGGCAACCCAAAGAGCCGCCAACTTTCCGCGGTTCGCCACTGGAAGACCCGGAAAGCTGGATCGAAAGGTTCGACCGTGTCGCCGCCTTCAATAACTGGACAGACGATGACAAGCTCCGGCATGTGTATTTCGCCTTAGAAGATGCTGCTCGGACCTGGTTCGAGAATCAAGAGCGAAGCCTTACAACGTGCGACGTCTTTCACGCCAGGTTCCTCACCACTTTCGCAAGTGTGGTGCGCAAGGAGAAGGCCGCAGCTCTTCTTGAAACCCGCATGCAGATGCCAAAAGAAAACGTGGCGCTATTCACTGAAGATATGATTAAACTTTTCCGTCACGCTGACTTTGACATGTCCGAGGAGAAACTCCTACAAACCCCGTGACAATGAATTCATGAAATTTTGTAGTAGATTTAATGGTTTTGCTATGAGTATGTAAATTTCATTGAGATATCTCGATAAACAAAAAAAATGGTATCTGTTTTTAGCCTCCCTCCTTAATTGGCATATCCATTGGGTAGGTATTGGCCAGGTGCTGCACCAGGGTGCCCGATTCTCTGGTGAGGGAGTGCATTACTGGCAATGGTGTCCGGAGAGGCCGCACCCCAAACTTCTTAATGCAATTCCATCATCACGCGGAGGCCCGCCATGGTGGTTTAGTTGCTCAGGTACTCGATTACAGGTCACTGGATCGAATCCCGACTGCGGTGGCTGCATTTCCGATGGAGGTGAAAATACTGTAGGCCGGTGTTCTCAGATTAGGGTGCACGTAAAAGGACCCCAGGTAGTCGAAATTTCCGGAGCCCTCCACTATGGCATATCTCATAATCATATGGTGGTTTTGGGACATTAAACTCCACATACCAATCAATCATGATCATTATAATCTGGTGGGGAATTGCGCAGCACCAGGATTCGAACCAGAGAGTTCTTGCTCCTGAGGCTGATTTACTAACCACTACGTCATCGGTGCGGTGGAAACTAAGCTGGCCGCTAATTCCACACCCTGGCATTCTCCTTGCCGACCTTATTTTTCTCCCCATAGAGAGTCTGTGCCAGGCACGTTGCCTCCTATTGCCACTCCACTCGCACTCACGTGTGACACCCTCTTAAGGTGTGGGGGATGCAATGGAGGGAACTTTTGATACATGACTATGGTTGTTTTTTTTACTTTTGAACTTGAGAAAAGTTGGCTTTATGCAAGGGAAGGCAAGAAAGTGAACGTCTGCGTTCATGCATTGCCGCCATGTATTGCCAGAAAAAAAAAATAAACTGTTTTTCCAACAGTGACATTACCTGGAAAGCCTGTGTGTTTGTGGCACTTATTTACCTTTGTATTCTATCACAGCACGTCTAGTCATTTTCAAATTGAAATTGTGGTAACCAGTGTAATATATTTGTGACCAAATGGTGAAATGTTCTTTTTTAATTGCAGGTCTCGCTGGGAACAGTTTCCACTGTCAGTGAAGCTGTTGAGTGGCTCAGCTACACTTATCTCTTCGTGCGCATGCGAAGAAACCCTCTGGTTTATGGGCTAAAAGGCACTGCATTGATGGTACGGCTCGTTTTAAGCTTGATACCAATGCGCAGTCTGATTGCTTCTTTTGTTGATACTATGTTCTTTTTCATGTAAAATGTCTCCCTTATTTTATGGATTGCAAAAGCGCTTTCATTTGTCAATATGGCACCACTGTCTGCTCCACAAAATTCATGTTCCACAGCAGCAGATACAGTCAAGCCTCATTAATGCATAACCATACTAACGATTAAAACGAAGTTGTGACAAATCCCCGACTGAGTTTTGTAGAGATGAATCGATTTAAGGATAGCTTTATAAAGGGACTAAAGTAGGACAATGATTTCATTTAGATTGATGAGAGCTGCACTCTGAAAACTCTAATGCCATACGTTTCACTGTCAGAAGTTCATTATTAGTGGAGAAAATGAAGAGTGAAGTTTCATTTTTAAATTTCGCGCCAAAACCTTCGCACGTGACGTGACTCATCTTTCCAGAAGAAGGCCGTGGGAGCACTACTGGGCTTCTTGTCAACTACTGGCCTGTTTGAATGACTCTGAGCGGATCGATTTTGTGTGTGTGCGTGTGTGTCCATATTTCGCTTTTACTTATCTTTTATCTCTCTCTCTCTCTTTCTTTTGCTGCTCTCTATTTCCCAACCCCAGTGCATTGTAGCATACCAGATCCTAACATCTGGTTAACCTCCCTGTCCTCCTCTTTTCTCTCTCTCTCTCTCTCTCTCTCTCTCTCTCTGACACTTTGTATGCAAAGTCCTTGGCACCCACAGATAACAATGTACTTAACTTCGATTGAAAACTATGTAGGACCCAGTAGACACCTTAAACAAACTTGACAAGTCTGAACTTGCATGTGAACGTGTCTAAATGTTTGGTGCTGGTATTGCAAAGTGGCGTCTCTACCCGTATTTTCTTTTCACACATTTTCTTGCTTACCAAGTGTAATGTCGCAGTAAGAGTGAGGCTTTCGTTATTGTGACATTGTATGTTACTACAGTCGAATCTCGTTAATTCGAACATACTTAATTCGAACTTCCCGTGGATTTGAACTCACGATGAGGTCCCGTCAAAGCTATGTGTATTTCTATAGGCGAAAACGCCCAGTAATTCGAACGCGCAAGCACTTGCGACAGTTCATTCGAACGTACCGCGCCCTGAGAATGCTCTCAGCACACCGCCCAATCCCGCGGCGGCACCTGCAACACCTTAACACTGTGCGCGAAGGAAAAGAAATGTTTGCTCTCTCTCAAATGCCGATCTGCTGTGCGCCTGGGCCAGGCTTCTCCCTTTTTCATCCCTGCTACACAAAGACTCTTCCCCTTTTGACGCCGCGCGAGGAAAAAATGAAAGCTGTTGTAGAGTGCTGGCTCTCTCTCACGCGTCGGTACCACGATTTTTCTTTTCCTGTTCCTGCCATCTCCTTTCAATTACGTGGGCAAAGAGAGCAAAAAGAAAAGCTGCCGTGGAGTGTTGGTTCTCTCTCAAATGCCGATCTGCTTCTCTTCGCGTGTAGACGCTTTTCCTTGTTACGTGCTAGCCACGCTGCACTGCGTAGTGGAGACACAGTCATTGTTGTCGTCGTCTTTGGAGAGTGTCGGCTCTGGACAATGCCGCTCGCAACTTCTTTTGCCAGGAAAATGCTGAAGCCGAAGTATAAATGCTTTGCAAGCTGCCTGCAAAGTTGACTCGCTGCAAGGCAAACGTATGCAGATGCGCATCACTGATTACTTTGATTAATGATGGATGTCCTGTGATTTGTGAATAAATGTTAGTCTTCTGAAACTTTCCCCTCGTGTGTTAGCTCAATGCACATGTGCTACTGCATGGAAAGTCCTCTTTTCGTTTAGCTTTCATTAATTCGAGCTTCCTTTAACTCGAATAAATTTTCGGGCCCTTTCGAGTTCGAATTATCGAGATTCGACTGTAATTTAACGAATTTAGGTACATCATCTCGAACTGTTTGAATAATATGCTTTTTCATGAAGTGTTTTGCATGATGTTTCTTTTCATGAAGTGTTTTCATGCTATTTTTTAATTTTACAATAACTGTTTTTTATTGTATCCTTTCATGGAGTGTTTGTGTACATTTTTATTCTCTAAAGGTATTTGTATGATGTGAAACTGTATTGCTCTGTTTGCACTTGAAGTTATGTATATGCCGACACTTTATTGTTGTACGTGCATTCAAGACCCTGTGTATGCATGCTGAATGTGCAAAGGAGTAAGAGCCTCTGTTGGGGAACATGGCCTTTAGCTCTTGCTCTTCCTTATGTAAAATGAGAGAAATAGCAAACTTCAAAAAGAAAAAGAATATTTTTTTAGATCTTACTCGGCATATATGGTGCATCTCGAAGTTTGAGATGGGTTTTCTGGAAAAAAAAGTTGTGCCTGTTATGTGAGTAAATATGGTGCGTTAATCCGAAACATTATATACTTTGTGCAAAGACCTTTAAAAGGGACTAAACATTTTGTGCAGCAGTCCATTCACTTGAGTTGCTGCTTGTGTAGGAGGACCCGACCCTGGCCAACTACCGGAGAGAGCTGGTCATCCATGCTGCCAAGGAGCTAGACAAGGCGCGAATGATTCGCTTTGAGCCACGCTCAGAGAGCCTTGACTCGACCAATTTGGGTCGCACGGCCAGCCACTTCTACATCAAGCATGCCACCATGGAGCGCTTCAACGAGATCATGGAGCGACGCACTCTAACTGAGGCTGACGCCCTGGCTGCCGTCTCTAAAGCCCAGGAATTCGACCAGCTGCAGGTCAGTCTGACGTTAAGGACTCGCTAACCACTCGGAGAGGACAATGTTGGAAATGTTTCACTCATCAGTGAAAATATACCTTGGCAAAGAGAGTACACTTCTTAATAAATGCATTCAAAGTGCATTTCAATTACTTTTGGGCCCCGTCATCCTTTGGCAGTGGACACCAATGTCGCCGTGTCTTTGCCTTGTTTGCAAATAATTGCAAACAAGGCAAAAGGGGTGGGGACGAAATCTGTGCCCTCCATTTCATCTCTGCATTTTTCCTTCCAAGGCAGTTCTCCACACGCTTAAGCTAAGCAAACTGTTCTTTGCTTTTTAATGAAGCAAATTTTCAAATTATTATTAAAGGGAAACACTTCATGCATAAATTAACTCGTTCAGCACTTGACTGTCATTAATTTTTCTATCACAGGTTAATTATTAGAAGTACAAATGAAGGTGAACTTGAATTTTGTGTCAGGGCTACAGTACGTTAGCATCATTGTGGCAACTTTCCATGTTGCATATAAATGATATTATGAATATTCTTAACACACCTGACAATTTTATAAACAGACGATACAAAAACTTCCTTGTTGTCCTCAAGCATGTCATTGCTAGTTTTAATAATCAACATGTGTCTAAATAATCTTTCTCTCTGGCTAAATGCAAATCACTTGCTGAATATTGAAAAGACAAAGTTATAGTGAACTATTGTCGTGGACAATGCCATTACATGCGAGCCTCAACCTTTGGAAAAGGTTGCTGAGCATAAGTTTCTTGGTATTTTCTTTCATGAAAACGAAGAATAGACTACACGCATTAACAAACAAAATATAACGCTCTCACATGAGGTACCGTATTTACTCGCGTAATGATCGCACGCCTAGATTTTGTCGTATAAATTCGACTTTTTTTCCCCCCGCGTAATGATCGCACCCTGAACTTGCCGCATCGACATGTCATGTGCCAAGTCTAGCTGAACGCGCCTATCATTGTTCCTGTGCTCTGAAAGGGGGCATCACTATGCTAATGCCGTAAATTTACTAATTTAAGTGAAAGAATTCATTATTTATATGGAAGAAACTGTTTTGATGCGCGTGACGTACTCACAACCTCCGTAACTGACGCAAGTAAGAAAAAAAATGCAGTGGCTTCGCTCCCGTCAGCCCATGTTTGTTTTGACATCCCGCACTGTTACAGCGGCAGCCGCCTGTTGGTCGACCTGTGTTCATCCCGCAGCAATGTTTTTTTTTTACTGAGACCACGTTTTTTTTTTTTGTGTATGTGTGTGTGCTTTGTGATCGTCTGTTGAAGCGCCGGTTCATCATGGGGCGGTATGCGAGCTTTACTGCCGCGTTCAAGCTGAAGGCGCTTGACTACGTGCTAGAGCATGGCAAACGCGCTGCCGGCAGACATTTCGGCGTCGACGAAATCCAAATTCGATATTGGAAAAAACAGCGCGACATGCTCATGGCTACCAACAGCACGCGATGGGCTTTGTGCGGACCTAAATCTGGCAAGTTCCCTGACATTGAAAAGGCAGTCCTTAAATACGTGGAGGACGTGCAAGCACGGTTATGCAGTGTCATTAGACACGATACGGATGCAGGCGTGCGCAGTTTCCCGGAGGCTGGGAATAGCCACAAAGGACTTCCGTGCCAGTTTTGGCTGGACGACACGCTTCATGCGGCGGAATGGACTGTCGCTGGCATTTCCAATGCGCTCGACGGAACGGAAGATGACCCTCTGTGGGACAGGGAAGACACTGCCGGTTCCGACAGCGATGACACTGACGCCAGTGATGCTTCAGAGTCTGAATGAACATTAGGGGGTCAGAGAAGTAAAAAATGAAAGGGCAGTGTGCCATACTTGTAGCTCGTGCGTAACGCGTGCATTTCATTACAAAGGTAAGCCTTAATTTACTTTTATTTTTGGTTATGTTCATGATAACTACCTAGCAATTCTGATTAGCGACTTTTTTGCATTTTTGGTGCTCAGAATATTTTTTCACGGAAAATTTACCCGCGTAATAATCGGATCCTAAAAATGGAGTCAATTTTTGTGTAAAAAAAAGTGCGATCATTATGCGAGTATATACGGTAGTACTTGAAATTTAGGGCTGACAGGTTGGTTATCTTGTGGTAGTTTCACAACTTTTTTTAGGCTGATGGTGATAGCGTATTTACTCACATAATGAACCCACCTTTTTTTTCATAAATGTTGACGCCAATTTGGGTGGCAGCTTTGCTTGTTTTGATCCGTGTAATCTTTTTTTGTAGCCCGAAGCTTTTTTTGTTTTTTCCCGTATTGAAAGCACACAAATCGACGCCAAAGTGTCATCCAGCCACTCGGTTCCCATGCTACAGTGCATGCTGTTTGTAACCTGTTATGTAGCTAGCTTGCTGGCCGAACGCGCCTTGTGCAGCAGGTGTCCCAAAGAAGTTCACAACGACAAATTTCACAACAAAATTGCAGCGTCGAATGGTGGAGCACAAGCGTTGTGGTGGACTTTGCCAGTTCAGGACGCGTCGTCAGCGAGGTTGTTGCGCTTAGCATGGCTTCGAAAATGGTGAGCGCACGGCGTGTTTTTTCGCCGGGCGCTTTCATTTTGGAGGCCACGCGCTTTGTTTTTGGTTTGCTTTTGTGCCGCTGTGCTTGCGTGGCGCTATCAACAAAAAGGTTTTTCGTGCATTGGACAGATGGCGCTTTGCCACAAAAGACACGACTTCAAGTTTTGATAAATGTCCACGCTCGCACTGCTCGCAACTGTGTAACATGCTCGCAAAACTATATTTTGACTTTTATTGCTTGTTTATTTTGTGATATAATGGCTTGATTTAACATTATTACGATCGTCAACGGCACTGGTTATCATACCGAAATAAAATAAACTGATACTATAAAAAAGTTTTTTTTTTTAAAGACCAAGGTGGCGACTAAGTTGATTATGCGAGTGAGTTCAATATGCAAGTAAATATGGTATTATGGAGCTCCATATGCTGCCAACACAATTAAGCTTGACCAGCGAAGTGAAATGCTTAGAGCAATGAAACATGCATTAACGGCCACAATTCATGCATCTCGGCTAACTTATTTTGTACTTCACTTGTTCAACGAATTTTCACAATGTCGAAGAATCCGTCGTCACGAAAAAGCACATGTGTGTCTTCTTTTCAATATTCCTGTTTTGGTCGTGCTGATTCAATCAGCAACATCTGAATACAGTGAATTGCGTGTGGCTAGAGTGTGAGCTTGGCTGTGACACAAGCACTAATGAATGGGATGTTATTAGGAAGATGAAACCAGCGAAAAACATCGTAACTTATTTTATGCATCTCGCAGAGGCATTTCACATTAACATTAGGTGATCATTTTCTATAAAAAGTGCTGGAGTTAGTCCCTCTCTTTGTTCCTGTGCGCTAAAAATAAGTTACAATACACTCATACCAGCTAGCTCGTCTTGCAATATTACTCAAGCAAAAACCACACAAAGACAGCGAAGAACAATAACAACTGCTTCTTGTTTCAAACGTTCCTAGGCCTAACTAGAAGTTTGCAACATAAGAACTTTTGCTTTTGGTGTGTGGTTTATATTTACCTTGTTGCATTCAATTTTCGCCCTTTTTTAACACATTCACCCGCCACTGCCCAAGCTTGGGTGTGTACATGGCATACACTCTATCCCGCTAAACAAAAACGCGTGTCCACAACGAACGGCTGGGTAACGCTATTCCCTAATTCCTTGCTATTGTGGTAATGCTAAACTACTAACTATATTGACAAAAGGCTGTTACTTCTGGCTCTTTTTAAAGTGACACAACACACCTGAATAGCACCATCTTTGCAGGAGTGCAAGATGCTTTGTCATTCTTTACAAAGTTATTGCTTAAGTCAACAGTTGATGCTTTCATCTAAACAGTTCAGATGTGAAGGTGTTCACACTCTTAATTAAAGTGTTACACTTTTCACCAAATAGCTGGTACTTTCATGAATGGAGGCTACCTTTGAAGAGCAAATTTTTGTTTGTTGAGATATCTTAGTGAAATTTTTAGGACTAGCTAAAAGCAAAGCTTTTTGAAAAACCACAAAGTTTCATGCAGCTATGTTAATTGGTTCCCAAGTTACAGCCATGTGTCAGAGTAGTCTACATGGGTCTTTTAGTCAGTGCCTTGCGAATTCGGAAAATTCACTACGAAGTTTCCTGGTCTTAGGGCAACCCAGAGTCCCTTAAAAAAAATTGTAGCTGGGTACTTAGTCTTCTGTTGGCCATTAGACTTTAATCAGTGAAAATTTAATTTATACAAGTTTTAGGCACAGTAGTATATTAAAAAAATGGCTTCATCTTGCCCTGAGCATTCGACGGATCACACTGAAATAAGCCTTCATGTGGTGAAATATGGTTTAACAAAACTAAAAATTCAAGCCTGTACGTATGCTACACCAGTCAATGTCTCAAATTGACTGCTGCTGCAGTCCCTATCCTGTCTCCTGTTCTTGTAAGGTGTGTACAGTTCCTTGAAATCCTTTAAAACCCACTAAGTTTAAAAAAATGCATTTTTAAGGCCCTTGAAAGTCCTGGAATTTTTTCCCGTCCTTGAAAATCCTTGAGTTTCCTGAGCACTGCACCCTTGTCCCGATATTGGGGCCTCGTAAACACGGTGGATTGGCATATCAATCTTTCAAACTCCGCATTTGAGGAGCAGTAATGTGGTGTGGGCGCACAGGGTTTCGTTTTGCAGTGGAAGTGATTGCAACAATGGTACACAAACAATAGCAAGCAACTTGGTGCATGCAGTGCTCCACTGAAGCGTAACAGACGCACGAAAGTAACACGCATAGAATGAACGCTAACAAACAACTGTCACTGCTCTACACTTGCACCGTGCTGCTTAAACACGAATGCTTGAAAAGAATGTGCTTACTTGTGCACAACCCAACGCTCTTTAGTTTTTTTTTTTTTTTCATCAGAATCTCAGGTGGTCAAAATTTCCGGAGCCCTCCACTACGGCGTCTCT